TATGTATATATATAAATAAATAAAGGTGTTTTAAACCCTTCCAACACACTTGCAATATTTCGAAATGCTCTAAAAGAGCACAGCATGTCATGATCTCAGCTCTCTGCCTCTGGCTGCTCTCTGCCTCTGGCTGCTCTCTGCCAGCGTTCTTGGCCACGCCCACTTCTCCCCTGCAGAGCAGAGATATGACACGCTGCAGGAGGAAGCTTCTCCTGCAAACTGTGCGCTGCACACAGGTGCTAAATAATTTTAAATAATTCATTTTAAATAAAAAGTCCATGTTTATCATGCAGCTCTTTCATCAATCAGTCAGTTGTGTGTCATGTCCAATCTTATTTTGAAAAACTGCGATAGAGCGAGTCCACGAAAAATGAGCTGTGAAGTAGCGAGGGACTACTGTAATCAAAAAGGTGAACTTAAAGAGTTTTTTTAAAAATTTAGATGCATTCAGACAACCATAATTTCTGACTCAGAGAAATTTCCAGGCTACGGTTTGAGATAACCATTTTTAACATGTACTCTTGTTTTTGGGTCTAATTTTCAGCTAATGAAATTACTACTTTTTTCCAAAACTTACATGCATTGATAATTCAGTATTTATTTTTGTGTCACAGAATAGTTTTTGGTCTTGAAAGCCTATTATAAATTAAATATTTAATCAACAGAACTTAGCATCCATTAAATCTTTTAGCCAAATCAATAGTTTACACCAAATAATAAAACTAACTGGTTTGAATATTTTTAACATTCCCTGTCTTTTTTTTTTTTAATATATGATGTTGACAGACTAACGAGCAAATGTACAGAAGATTAATTGTTGATTATAAAATGTTATTATGCTGTGTGGTTGTGTTCAGCTGTACGTAGGTGATCTGGAGTCAGAGTTCAGACAGTTTCAGGACTGGCTGAAGACCTTTCCTCTGCATAAAGGCAGAGCAACCTCAGATGATGATGATGATGATGACCAGGAGAGGCAGATGGGAAAATATAAAGTAAAGCTGAAGGAGTTCTGTGTTCGTTCATCTGTTTGTGTTTCTGTTGAACAGAGTTGATTGTTTTGTCATTTTCTTCTCCAGGGTTCCTTCCTGGTTTATCCCATCGATCCAGAAGACAAAGAGGACACCACGTGTCAGATCACTAATGGAGTCCCCAAAAACTCACCAATAAAAGTCTTGGTCAGAGTTTACATTGTGAAGGTGCCTGCCTGCCTCCGCCTCACATGAACAGTTGACGAGTTTCCATTATTGGGATTAAAACAGATAAATTCACAGTATTGCTTTGTTTTCTGCATCTATTGATTGTTTGTGTCCTGCAGGCCACCAGTCTGGCCCCTACGGACCCGAATGGTAAAGCTGACCCATACCTGATAGTCAAGGTGGGGGACCAAAGTCTGGACACCAAAGATCGATACATCCCCAAACAGCTCAACCCAACGTTTGGAGAGTCGGTACCGTTCTGTCTCTGTTTGTCCACCTGTCTCTGTGTGTCTCTCTAAATGTAAGACTTCATATTTCAGGGTGTTTGAACTCACCGTGTCCTTCCCACTGGAGACAGAGTTGGTCATCACGGTTATGGACCATGATCTCATCGGAGCCGACGATGTCATCGGCGAGACTCGGGTTGACTTGGAGAACCGTTTCTACAGCCGACATCTTGCTTCCTGTGGTCTTGCTCTTTACTATGATACGTCAGTGCAATAATAATAATAATAATAATAATAATAATAATAATAATAATAATAATAATAAACTGAGGTTAAAACGCCATTCATAATATGTAATCTAGAATAAGCTAACTTGTAATAAAATTAGAAGTGGAACTGTGGCTCAGTCAAAAAGCCTAGTATCCAAACTACACAAAGGTACCACAAGGATTTTAGTTCCAAAACCACATTGAAAACTGCAACATCTCATCGGCGCCAGGCTTTAAGCGTATTAACAACATATGTCAAATGGTGTTAGCATCAGTTAATATTGGAACCAACACCATGGAATCAGAGGTATGACACCGACTACTATAAAATTACCACAGTGGTGATAAAATATTGGCTATAAAATTCTGTATTAGATCATTCAAACACCAGTAATGACAAATTTAATGTGTGTTAGTATACAAACTGGATCACATACATATGTATGTAACTAGAAAACCAACAGTTAGAAACTACTTGTTAGTACAAAACTGGATACTTTAATACTAATAAAGTGTGAACCACCAAAGTTATAACACAGTAGAACTGTTGCGATCTGGTGGTTAGTGTTGAACTCCTGGCAAGGACCAATGCAGACATGTTCCTGTTTTTAGTTTTCTACATTCGCCTTATAATCTTGCTGGTTTTGTTAATTTTTTTTTGCCATCTTATTTGTAAAAAGAAAAAAATCTGTATGCCTCTTTATATTTGTCTGTTGTTGTCATCGCTCTTTGTTGAAATCAGGTCTCTCTTGTAAATGAGTCCTCGAGGCTCAATGGGATTTACCTGTATAAATAAAGGTTGAATGAATGAATGAACCCAAAGTGCAGGCAGACCACGGAGACTCGGAGATCACAATAAGAAACAATTTATTAATGAAAACAAAAAGCTGACGGGGCAGAAAACTTACATAAAGGCTGGGGACACCGAGGGAAGACGGAACATTCAGCCTTTATTTCTACAGGTTAGTCTCATTGAGCCTCGGGGACTCATTTACAAGAGAGACCTGATTTTAACAAAGAGTGATGACAACAGTAGACAATCATAAAAGAAAGCGTATAAATTGAAAAAAATAAATGGAAGAAAAAATATATATTAAAAAAAAACAACTAAGATGTAAGTGATGTAAAATACTATAAACAGGAACATGTCTGCATTGGTTTCTGCCATGAACTTAGCAGATGTTTGAAGCCACTTAGAGAGGTCATGGTGGAGAGCTTCAGATCTTTTAACATGGAGCTTGACAAAAAATAATACCCATACAAGGAAGAACACAGAGATGCAGACTTGTATACAGACGCTATCCAACTGACAATGATGAACACCTGGGGAAGGACAACAGGTGGCAGAGGCAGGAGAGCAGGACAGAAGACCCAAGAATTACACAAATCCTCACAAGAACCAGTAATTTAAATTGTTTGTAACATTACTGTTTGCAACGAAATAATAAAAGTGTGGAACAAAAGTACTATATGTTTCAAATATAACCGTATGGTAGTACCAGAATGATATTTATCTACTAAAGCTATGGCACACTTAAATCTAGTACTTTTGTTTTTAAACAAAATATATAAATACGTACCTAAACTACTTAAACTGACAAGATTAAAACCGGTATAAGAACCACCAGTACAAGATCCGTGGCACGTTTAAACAAGTACTACGCTTTAATACTTGTTGATTTTAATATATCTGCACTAAATCTGCAACTCGTTTTCCAGTACCATTTATCAGCGATAAATTAGAGCAGGTACCATCAAGTGACAGGATGTTAGCTCCTTATCTACACAATATTAGAATCAAAACTCTAGTTATCTATAAAAATGCTTTGAAATATTATTTGCCGTACCACACGTTTGTACCTTTCCTGTTACAGCGGCACACTGCACCGACTCTACACTGGTGTTAGTCTGTGCTCGTTTAAGTCTGCCTGTCTTTCTGCTTTTTAAAGTGACGGTTACAACAAGTGGCGTGATGCGAAGAAGCCGTCAACAATCCTGACTGAGCTCTGCAGGAAGAATGGAATCCCATCTCCAGAGTACAGAACATCTGAAGTGAAAGTACTCAACAAGATCTTCAAAATACCACCAGACGCTGTACCTGAAGGTAGGATAGACAGACACACAGGTAGCGAGACAGGCGGATGTCACCACACATGCAGTCTTGTCAAGTAAAGGAGTTTATATCCTGAAGCATTACGATGTCCTCTAAACAGTGAACAAGGAAATATGCTTAGAATCAATCTGTAATCACGCAGAAGAATAGATTTAATAGCAGTATCATGTACTATTACAGTGCTAAAGCTATGTCTAATGCTTGTATGACTGTATCGAGGTGAAATTTAATTTAATTCAGTTTATTTATAAAGCGCCAAGTCATAATAGAAGTCGTCTCAGGACACTGAACAGAAACATTCATATATAAAAATAACAATTTAACATTAATTATCTGAGGAGCAGACTGTTTTGAGTTTAACTCCATCACAGAACTCTCATCTTGAGCAAGCATGAAGGCGACAGTGGAAAGAAAAAACTCCCTCATGAGGAAGAAACCTTTAGCAGAACCAGGCTCAGGACAAGCGACCATTTGCTGCGACCGGCTGGGTTTGAGAGGAACAGATACACAATGGCAGGTCAAGAATCACATGTTAAGATAGAAATAGTATAAAATGAAAAAAAAATTAATTTTAGCAAATCATGTAAGGAAATGTGGTCAATTTTTCCTCTAGTAGTCTAAGCCTATAGTAGCATAACAAGCTAACCCTAACTATAGGATTTATGAAAAAGGAAAATCTTAAGTCCAGGCTTTAAACTGGACCATGTGTCAGCCTCACGGACAGAAACTGGAAGTTGGTTCCTCAAGAGAGGAGCCTGATAACTGAAAGATCTTCCTCCCGTTCTGTTTTTGGAAACTCTACGGACCACGAGATCCTGCACTGTTAGGAAAATATGGGGCAATAAGATCTCAAATATAAGATGGAGCTAGGTTGTTAATAGCTTTGTAGGTTAGAAGTAAGATTTTGAATTCAATTCTGGATTTGACAGGGAGCCAATGGAGAAAAGCTAAAACTGGAGAAGTATGATCTCTCCTACTAACTCCAGTTAAGACTCTGGCAGCAGCATTTTGGATCAACTGAAGACGTTTTAAAGAAGTATTTGGACACCCAGATAATAAACCATTGCAATAGTCCAGTCTAGACGTGACAAATGCATGGACCAGTTTTTCTGCATTATTTTTAGATATGTTTCTAATTTTAGCGATAATAAGCAGGTGAAAGAAGGCAGTTCTAGTAACGTTTTTCATGTGGGGGATAAAAGACATGTCCTGATCAAAAATAACACCGACATCAGAGCTGGAGTCCTGATTAATGCCATCCAAAAAGGGCAAAAGACTGAAAAATTATTTCCTAAGATGCTCAGGTTAAAAAAAAATAAAACCTCAATCTTGTCTTTGTTCAAAAGCAGAACATTTAGGGTCATCCAGGTTTATATGTCTTTAAGACATGTTTGTGGTCTAAGTAGCTGATTGGAGTCTTTGGGTTTCATGGACAAATATAACGGTGTATCATCAGCATAACAATGAAAATTTATCCCATGCTGTTTAATAACATTATCTAGTGGAAGCATATACTGTATAAGGTAAAGAGTATTTGTCCAAGCACTGAACCTTGAGGAACTCCATGACTAACTTTGGTGTATGATGAGGATTTATTATTTACACTTACAAATTGGATTTGATCAGATAGATATGATTTAAGCCAATTTAGAGCTGTTCCTGTAATTCCAGTATCATATTCAAGTCACCGTAGAGGTCAAAGTCCTCTCTAGAAACACAGGAAAAACGGACTGGTTGGACAATGTGTTCTTTTGTTGCGTGGTTGCTCATAAAATCTGCAAAATAAGATTATGCCAGCCCATTTAAAACTTAAAAGGAAACAGAAAGGTTTTAAAGTCAGTCCAGAACCGGTCAAGGAGTGGTTGAAGGGATGCCAAAACTGCAGTTCTGTTGTTGTTATCAGGTCTGTTGAAGAAGAACCAGCGGTCCCTGGAGGAGGAGGCAGAGATGGAGGAGCATTCAGCTCTCAGTGTGCTGCAGCGCTGGGGGGAGATGAGAGAGTTCCTCCCTGGAGCTGTTCCTTTGGTCCCAGAACACGTGGAGATCCGGTCTCTGCAGAACCAGGACAATCCTGGGCTTCCGCAGGTATCCACACAGCAAACGTCAAGAAGAACTTTTGGTACAACTGAATGTCAACAACAATGTGTGTGTTGTAGGGTTACCTTCATATGTGGGTCGACATGTTTCCCACTGATGTCCCAGCCCCGCCCCCTGTTGACATAAAGCCACGCCTACCTGAGCAGTACGTCAGCAGATAACCGAGATCAAAACAACAAAATGCAAAAAGACAGAATGAAACTTCACTTCTGATGTTTTTATTGTGGCAGATACGAGCTGCGAGTGATCATCTGGAACACGGATGACGTGTTCCTGGATGATGTCAACCCGTTCACGGGCGACCCATCCTCTGACATCTACATTAAAGGGTTCGGCCTCACAGTTCAGCCGTTCCACCCCAACATCAGTCATTATCAGGTTCAGTGGTCCTTACTTGCAGTCCCCGCTCAGCTGTGAAAGCTTTCTGTTGTCTTTGCAGCTGGATAAAAGGACTGGACGGAGACAAACAGGAGACTGATGTCCACTTCAACTCCCTGACAGGAGAGGGAAACTTCAACTGGAGATTTATTTTCCGCTTCGACTACCTTCCCACTGAGGTACCGTGCTGTGTGATATAAATCTGATTTTCTCGGTGTCTCTAGGACTCTGGATTAGGGTGTTTGCAGAAATAACACAACTAGATATTAACAAATATGTGGTTGTATGTTGACAGTATTAAAAAATACAATACATCTGTTCTCCTCTTGTAGAAGGAGGTGGTGTATAAAAAGAAGGAGTCCATATTTTCTCTGGAAGAGTCTGAGTTTCGTCAGCCGGCTGTTCTGACCCTTCAGGTCTGGGACTATGATCGCATCGCAGCCAACGACTTCCTGGGTGAGAAACTGCAAATTATTACAAATATTTACATTTATTAAAACATAATTCAAATTATTGGTTAAAACACACAATGTTTGCAGCGAAAATTCACAGTTTTCATTCAGTAAATTATGAGCACTTTTCTAATTATGTTAATAAATTGTAAAATTTAAATTAAATCCAAGAATTGAATGCAAAAAGACAGATGAAGGAGTAAGACAATTTTTCAACTCAGATTTGTTTTTAAATGACGTAAAAATCACATTTCTGTTTTAAAACCCTATGGTCAGTGTGGGAATTGTTTAATTTATTTAGTTTTCTACTTTATATTTGATTATTTATAACACTGGGAATGGTGCCTAGTTCATATTTTAATGTAAATGTTGTACATAAAATAGCAAAAAATTTAAATAAAAAAAAAAATCTAGAAACTCCTATGTTTTTTTTCCCTTCTTGCTCTCGGCGAAGGCGGACGCATTTTCCTCCCGCTCCTTCCCCTGCTTCTGCTCTTTGTCCTGTGAACTTTTATGTATGTTGCTTTTTTTGTGTGTGCTGAGGATTTTTGCAACCTCACTGTGTCCTGTTAGGGATACAGTGTGAGAGATGATTTTTTTTAACCTCTTCTTTCCCTCGTGTTCCCTTTCCTTATCTAACAAAAAAAGGCAGCGCCTCTCATGAGGCTGCAGCCTCAGGCACCCCCGTCTTCCCATGTTGTTTGGTTGTTTGTGTTTCTTGGGCAGGCTGTACTGAAATGTAATTTCGTTGTGCTTCGGTGCAATGACAATAAAGCTGATTCTGATGTTTTAAAGTAGCCTTAACATCTTCTACTTCTAGGGTTTTTCATTCCACACAGACGCACAAAACATGTGATGAGCTTTTGTAAAAAACAAAAACTCTCTTTATACCAACATTTGTGCTAAAAACGTCTCGTTTTCTCTGCCTTTTAAGGCTCCATAGAGCTTTCTCTCAGCAACATGGTTCGACCAGCGAAAATGTCCAGTAAGTGCACCATCGAGATGGCGAAGGACCACGCCAGCCCTCGCTTCTCCATATTTCGAGCCAAAAAGATGAAGGGCTGGTGGCCGCTGGTCCGCCTGAAGACGGCCGAGGACTTTGAGAGGGAGGAGAAGGAGAGGCAGGAGGCCATGAAGAAAGGACGCAAGAAAAAAAAGAAAAGCAAAGACAGGAGGAGCAAGCTAAGACAAGAGGACATCCAGTACACCGACAGCTTGGGCAACACTTTCTTATTAATGGTACCAAATACTTTGTTTAAAACTGAGATCAGATTCTACTCTGAGAAATACTTCATGAAAAGGTTAATGCTTTGGAAAATAAAATATGTTTTCCAAAAACTACCAAACATTAATAAATATTATGCGCTGAATTAACCTAGCTTGGTCTTTAAATGGTAGGTGGGTACGATAGTTACTTTATTGGTACACACTGGGTACTCTCTTGGGAATGTATCACTTGAGTACTTGGTACTTACATGATATACACTTGGTACTTGTAAAACATATACCTGGTACTTACTGGGTAGTTACAAAGTAGGTACACAGTACATACCTGGTACTTACATCATATCTACTTTGTATGTACCAGGTATTACTTGGCATGAACCAGGTTTTCACACAGTACTTCAAGGATTCAAGGGTCTTTCTTGTGGTGGAACGAAATTGTGTACACAGGGTCCCAGTTACATCCAACAAAAAATATTCACATGTAAGAGAAAAAACAGTAAGATCTAAGATATGAACTAAGAAAACCCTTAATAAAAATACACAAAACACTAGTAGCATAAAAACAATACAACAAACAGCAACATAAACTTACCTGGTGTGTCCCATGTAAGTACGTAGGTATATACACCCTGTACTCACTAGGCAAATATCAAGTATACATCTGGTATGTATCAGGTTGTGTCATGCACTACTGTCATGCTTTTTATTGTTAAATCTCAGCATAGGAAGAGTTATTTAACATTAAAATGTACTTAACCGTAATTAAAAACCAAAGTAGAGTAGAAACCATAGAACGTTTTTCCTCTAAAGTTTAAATTACCTGAACGTTTTGTTTTGTTCCTGACCCTGTCACCTCAATGTGTTTCCTGGACTCACAGATGTATATTCTAGTTGTAAATGTTGATTTTCACATCCAGTAACTGGAACTGTTCTTGTTAAGGGGAAGGTGGAGGCGGAGCTTCAACTGGTGGCTCTGGAGCAGGCTGAGGCCAACCCTGTGGGACGAGCACGCAAAGAACCCGAGCCTCTGGACAAACCTAAGTAAAACAAACAGAAACAGCTCCATTATTCCATCCTTTATCACTTGAATGAAATAAAATGAAAACATATAAGTAACAATTTCCCATCAACTTAGTTTCATTGTCAGAGTTCTCTGTTTTAAGCACGACAGAGTTTGAAGGTGTGTAAACTGATGCAAACCATCTCCTTTCGTCTCTCCAGTCGTCCGACTACCAGCTTCAACTGGTTTGTCAACCCGATGAAAACCTTCATCTTCCTCATCTGGAAAAACTACAAGAAGTACATCATAGCTCTGGTCATCCTGGTCATCCTGACGCTCTTCCTGGTCCTCATCATCTACACGTTGCCGGGACAAATCAGCTCCCTCATCGTCAAAGGATGAAGAAGCCTGCTGAACATCTTCGTCACCTCACGCTGGTTGTTCCTCCAACTCTCTCGCTGTCATCCATTGTTGCTGATAATAATTCAGAGGAGGAGAATCATAGAGGAAATTACTTATTACCTCAGACTTATAACAAATTTTCAAAATATCTGGTCTGAATATATATATATATATATATATATATATATTACTTGGACTCGATGAGTCATTGTTTCTGAACTGGAGTAGGAAGTCTAATGCTCATAGTTGTGCTTTCGTTCATACTTTTATTCTGAAAAAAATTAAATATAAATGTATACAAATACACCTGACTCTTTGTTTAAATGTATTCATTAAATCAAGCATAAAACGTCCTCCTGAGCTGCGTCAAACGGTGCAGTTTGAAAGAGTTTACTCCGATAGTGTTTCAGATATGTTGATTCATAAATGTGGGTCCACACTCAATGTAAACAAAACAACAAAACAAAAATGTAGAAGTTTGAGTCACATGATCTACAGAAGACTTGCTGCAGGTAAACAAATATGGCCACTAAGCTTAATGTGTAACTTATTTTCAGTTACTTGGAAGATGACATCAACTTTGCTTGAATTATTTTAATTTGACACATTGACTATTGATATGACAAATATATTGTGCCAATTTTGTTTCTTACTTTATGAATTTTTCTGTCCAGTTCTCTTAACTTTGCAAAAAAGTATATTTAATGCCCTGATTTTTTTCTTTGAAGTTGCTAAATCTTAACATTGGCTTTGGTTTTGTGATTGATAAACATTTAGAATGAATAATTTTATCTGCAACTTTGCAGGCAGTTAATCGTGATTACAATTATGGATGTTTATTTTGTTTGTGTTTTTTTTTTAAATATGTTAAATAACTTCTCTCCAACAATGTTCTTTTCTTGGGTTGTGACTCAATATAGTCAAGTTTGTGAGTAAAACCAAACCCTGTGAGCCTCATAAACCATCGTAATCAAACAATAACTGCTTGAAAAAATAAAAAAGTTCTATTTTTAAATATGAATCACCTTCCTGATGATCAGCCTACAACACAACAAGTTCATTAATGGTCATCCTGGGGTCGTATTGTAGAACCCACATCTCACGTTCTTCACTGAGAGCTACTTTGTTGTGTGTTTTACTCATTTAAAGGGTACTCATTGTGTCTTCTCATTAGTACTGACACCACGATTGTACTGAAAGGGCACCTAATGCTGGAGTTGGGGCGGCTGTGGCTGAGTGGTTAGAGCAGTCGTCCTCCAATGCAAGAGTTGGAGGTTCGAATCCACCAGCAGTCACATGCCCAAGTGTCCCTGGGCAAAACACTGAACCTCTCGTTGCCCCCGATGTGTGTCCCATCAGTGTATGAATGTGATAAAGCTCTGATTAGTCTCTTTAGATGATTTGTTCAATTATCTTTGTAGAGATCTGTATGAATGGGTAAATGAGGGCACAGATTGTAGTGTAAAGCGCTTTGAGTATCTCAATAAGGTAGAAAGGCGCTATACAAGTACAGTCCATAAAACATTGTAATTATTTATTTGATTTATTTTTGTTTTGAGACACACACACATCCTGCAGTTGTTTTCCATTAGAAGAAAAATGTATCCACTGTGATACTTCTTGCTCAATGGTTTAGTTTCTTATCCTTTTTGACGTACCGTATTTTCCGTCGGACACGTCGCACCGCCGTATAAGTCGCATCAGTCCAAATATGTCTAATAAAGTGGAAAAAAAACACATAAATAAGTCGCTTCGCCGTATAAGTTGCATCTATTACTCATCACCGCTGATGACCCGGAAACGTGGGAGCATGCACGGGAGGACTTTAACAAGAATTGAACAAGATCAACACTTAAAAACAATTATTTGTTTGGTCGACATTATAGTAAAGGTGTGTCTCAGTTTAGCGTTTCCTTAATAAATGCACTTTAATGATAAAATCAGTTGCATTTCCAAAGTATTCGCTGCCTCGATGCTCTGGGAGCGAGCAGAGGGAGGAAATCAGGAAGGAGGAACGCCGCACATTTCTTTTAAATTTAACAAGATTAACCCTTAATAACAATTATTTGTTTGCTCAACATTATATCAAAGTTGTGTCTCAGTTGAACTTTTACTTAATAAATGCACTTTAATGGTCAAATGAAATTCATTTTACTGGGGCGGCGCAGCCAAATGAAGTTGATTTGACAAATGCTCCAGACATTATCCCGGAGCTGGACAAGGTGGCAGTCTAAGGCAAGCCGCTCGTGTCATTAATAGCCATGCTTACCTATTACATGACACAATGGCATGCCATACAGAGCAGCTGAAAATGGTAGTGTTCTATATTTTCCATGTCAGAATGAATGAAAACGGTCAAATCTCAGCCAAAAATTGGTTTATAAATATGGGAAAAAACATAAATAAGTTGCTTTGGCGTATAAGTCAAATTAGGCAAAAAGGTGCGACTTATAGGCCGAAAAATACATTGATCTACATAAAGCTACGACACTTGGAGATGCTTTTTAAGGAACTCCAGCCTACACTTCAGTGATGCAGCTGGTTTGGGTCTCGTGCTTTTCTTTCTGCAACATTGAAAGAAGAGACAAAAGATGGAGTTCAGCTAAAAGCAGGAGTACAGTTGGCCTTTGTCTCACAGGAAGTTGCTAATAGTTTGTTTACTGCGCAGAAGGTTGCTCTGATCGTTTCCTCTGAGACTGCAGACGTCGGGCGGTGTCCATGCAAATTTGGGATCTTTTCCTCCGACACTACAAAAGATACGATCGAGGGATGAACATTTTTAGTCTTTCCCAAACACAAGCAAGCTTTTATTTTTAAACAGCCTCATTTTATTCACTCTGGAATAAGTCAGCTCACTTCTGAAATGAATGATTTAACAGACATTTCCTCCGAAGGTTACTTTGATTTAAATAAATTCAAGTGCAGAAAGGATTTTAATAACTCTTTAGATGATTTTTATTCTTCATCATATGGTTCTGTGTGACAGACTGTTTTAGTCAAACCTTAAAAATAGCGGCACCCTCAGAGTATGTGTTGTGAATGAATCTCTGCTACTACCACACCGAGTATTCCCTCAGTATCTGTAGAAATGAGTGAGTTACAGCCGTTTAGCTGTGGCAGCCATCTTGAATTGGGTTGACTCAAAAGTTTAGCAGTTACGTGTATGTTATTGTTTTTCCTGAAAGTTTAATTAAAGTCCATCCAGTGCTACATGATATATTTTACTAAAGATATTGCGCAATCTATTGCTCAACACAAGTGTTGGGGATCAGTCTCGGCTTCTTCCACAGCAAATTTTAGCTCAATGTCTGTAAAACAAACTAAACTGTAGCCTTTATTGTGTTTTTTAAGGTCAGTTGGCCGTGGCAGCCACCGTGAATCGGGTTAACTTCAAAAACTATCCGTTAGAAATGTACATTTAATTATTAATTTGGGGTAACAGTCGACGTAAAGGCCCAAACACAAAGTCGGTGGCAACATTTGAAGATCTCAAGAGGAACAGATGTTCAAACATCTCTCAGTGTAATCTGTAAACTCACACGGCATAAAAGTGCAAAACATAAAAGTGTAAAACATAAAAGTGTAAAATATAAAAGTGTAAAACATAAAAGTGTAAAACATAAAAGTGTAAAACATAAAAGTGCAAAACATAAAAGTGTAAACATAAAAATGTAAACATAAAAGTGTAAAACATAAAAGTGTAAACATAAACGTGTAAAACATAAAAGTGCAAAACATAAAAGTGTAAAACATAAAAGTGTAAAACATAAAAGTGTAA